AGAGAGAGAAGGAAGAAGAAGAAGAAGTAGAAGGAGCGGGGGGGGGGGGGGGGGAAAAAAAAAAAAAAAAAAAAAGAAGTAGAAGGCAGCAGCCTTTGGCGAGGAGGAGAGGCCAGACTAGAATTAAGGAGCAAGGAAATAAGTTTTCATTTCATTGCACTGCTTCTGTAGTCTTTGCGGTGGTTTTCTTTTTCTCTTCCAGTTTTGTTCCTTTATAGTAGAGGTTATCCTCAAATTTTCTATGGCTCTTGGCTGTTCATTTACATTAATTCCTGATGGAAGGGGAAGCAAACTCACATTGCAAAGAGGCATGAGTACCCAGATGTGAGCCACTGATGCTGTCGTCTTTTCATTCGCGTAATACACATTATAGACCCTTCTAGCTGGGAAGTTATTTTCATGCAGAATTTGGAGGCATTGCTTCATTGTTGGCACTGAGCAGGTCTGTGGTGTGGTGACTGTTTACTTTGTGTAACTGTTCCCTCCCTCTGCAGGATTTGGGACCTTCTGGTTATTTGCAATACACTGAAATGTCCTGCTGACATGGCCTGCTGTGAGCTCTTTTTCACTCATCATGTTGACGTTCCATTGGTATTTTTGACCCAGAGGTCCTGTTCTTTGACTTGTGGGGATGTCTTGGGATCACATCTCGGATCATTTCCTCTCCACAGTTTTCTCAACTTGCTGGAACTCCTGTTATTTGGATGTTGGACCACTACCCAGATCCTCTAACTTTCTTAACTTTTCCACTCTGTTAAGTTCTTATTATGTTGTTATATTTTCGGAGAAATTTCTTCAACTACATGTTCCTTCTCTTTTACTGAATTTTAATTTCAGCATTCATGTTTTTCATTTTCAATCGCTTTTTCTTGGTCTCTTACTTGTTAAAAGGCATCTTATTCTTGCTTCCAGCATTTTCCTGATATTATTAATTAATTTTCTTTGAAGTTTTCATTTCGTTGCATTGTTTCTGTAGTCTTTGAGATGGTTTTCTTTTCCTCTTTCTTTCAGTTTTGTTCCTTAATAGTAGAGGTTATTCTCAAATTTTCTGTGGCTCTTGACTGTTCATTTACATTAAAAGCTGATTGGAAGCTCTAGGGCCGTGGTTGACAAACCGCTGCTCACGAGCCACATGCGGCTCTTTGGCCCCTTGAGTGTGGATCTTCCACAAAATACCACGTGCGGGTGCGCACGTATAGTGCTATTGAAACTTCGTGGCCCATGCGCAGAAGTCGGTATTTTGTGAAAGATCCACACTCGAGGGGCCAAAGAGCCGCCTCGTGAGCAGCGGTTTGCCAAACCACAGTTGGCCAACCACTGCCCTAGGGTGTAACAGGCACATTGCCTGGTGGGCTTCACTGTAGATGAAGCCAGTGGGCAAATGGCTTTTTCCTTGAGCATCTGTAGGTCTTCTCTCAGTGGTAGCTCACTTTGCCCAGAAGAGTTCTTACCAGTGTTGCCCTTGGCCAGAGCAAGAGGGCCCTGCCTTCTGCTTCGTGCTATCAGGGCCTCGCTCTGCCCACCCTTCTAAAGGGCAAGGAGTCCATAGGACCGAGTTCATGCCCACCTGTGACCCACCCTGCTCTCTCTTTAGAGTTTCACCAAGCACCTGGGACCACAGAGTGCCCTGCCCAAATGACCTCTATTTCCAAGGCCTACATGTGCCTTCCCTGGTTATCTTCCTAAGAGCAGACCCTGCTCCACCCTCAGGCCTGAGAAGAGGCTAAAGAGTGGCTGTTTTCAGGGGCATATAGATCAGGGGTCCTCAAACTACGGCCCACGGGCCACATGCAAATACAAATATTGTATTTGTCCCTGTTTTGTTTTTTTACTTCAAAACAAGATATGTGCAGTGTGCATAGGAATTTGTTCATAGTTGTTTTTTTTAACTATAGTCCAGCCCTCCAATGGTCTGAGGGACAGTGAACTGGCCCCTTGTTTAAAAAGTTTGAGGACCCCTGGTATAGATGGAGTGGAAACAATTCGTTTCCAACCACAGGTGGAAGATAAAAGATCAGGACAGGTCTTTGTGTGGCTGTTTATTTTAGAAAGTGAACAAAATGTGTTTTATTCTGAAAACTGCCAAAAAAAGGAAGCAGGAACAGGAAAGGAGAGCAGCAAGAAAGCCTGGCAAACGTGGATTCATTGCAGAAAGAACAAAGCGTAGGGTTAGGACCTGTCACTCGCACAGGCCTCTTCCAAAACCCTTTCTCTTCCCAGCCAAGGAAAATTCCCTTTTTGTACCTAATTTTTATTTAGTATTATTTTCCTTAAAGATGATTTTAAAATTGCATAAGCTTCACAGCCACAAAACCTGGATCTGTAGCTGAGACCAGGAACTATATTTTAAGACTTTATATAGAGAAAGAGAGATAATGAGACAGAGATACATACCTGGCAAAACAGCTGATTCGAAGCAGCATAGGTTTTTTGAAATTCCCAAGAAAAAATAGGGGCCCAAAAAGAATGGTTGATGCAATGTAAGTTGAAAATTAATCTGACCAAGAAGTGACTCAGGAACTAACTTTTAAAGGACACCAACATCGGTAATGACAATTGCTCAGAGTTGGTCTGTTAGGGAGCCAGGCAAGAGACGTGCCCTAATGCCGGCCACCCTTTGGGATTTGCTGACCAATCTGAACTAGTTTTCAGCCTCTTAAAGTAACAGAAGCTGCACTTACCTAAGGCTGCCACCAGGAGGCAGACGAGGCTTACTCAAGCATGATTTTGCCACATGGCTAAAATTCAAAATGTCTTTTAATTCTCAAGCAATTTTGTGAGGTAAGTGCCATGGTTTTCATCACTTTTCAGATGAGGCTAAGAGATGCTCAATAACTTGCTCATAGAGGATGATGTTTAGTTGGGGATTTGCAAGATGAGATACATAAAAGTTAATTTTGTCAGCACAGGACAAGGGAATTGCGAAAAGGCACACTGGAAAGTCTGTCAGCTTTCCCTCTGTTTCCAGTTGTGCCCAGAACACTCCCCAAACTACAAATGCAGGCTTCGGAGGAAAGCCATGTCTTAGACACACTGTTTCACACCTCCTTATTAGTCTCTTTCCCCTCTTGTGTCATCTTTCATTTCCGTAGCCCTGCATCCTGTTTGGCACATCTTGAACGGAAAGCAAACGCATGGACATCATTCAACAGGAGGGAGGACTCGCCGCCTGCCTTCCCCATCCCACAAGGCTGAGGAGGGGGTGAGGTTGCATCTCTCTGGGGAAAAGTCAGCACTACCACCCTCCTCAAAGGCGTCTTGGCATTTCCCTAAGGCATGCCAAAGAGAACCTCTCCCCGGCTTCAAGGACCATGGAGGGATCACCCAGAAAGACTTGTTGATGTTGCCTGTACCCGGTACTGGTAAAACACAAACATACACATACACACACACACACACACACACACACACACACACACACACAATCTGACTTTCGGTGACTCTGATATTCGGGGTTAGACGTAGTTTCAAGGGATTTTGTCCTTGATTTTCATATTCTTTAGAAGCACATGGAGCCAAACTTCAGGAAGTGGGAACCAAGGAAGGGACACAGAATTATAAATGCATGAGAGACTGCATAGGAAGCCACCCCACAGAATGCAGAAATCTCAATGAGAAGCACTGTTCTTCAGTCGGCTTACTGGTGAGGACAGGCCCATATACAGGAGGCAGTAGCGCTGGGTCTTAAAAGAGGTCGAGTTTTCAATAAAGTTTGAAATCATGAAATCCCCACCTAACCTCAAGTGCCTCCTCTCACTGACCTCAAAACCCCTGCATCAGAGGCCTTACCCGGACTCCTGCATGCCAATGACAGTGCGAGCACAAGGCTGCAGCTCAGCACCCAGAGAACAGAGCCACGCCCCACCTTCCAAAGCTTCAAGTGCCGGGAACAGCACAGCTCCTACAAATAAGATAGCGAAACAAACAACTCCTAATTCCCAGGGATCTGATTAGATGAGACACAGCAGCCTGAGCAGGACCAACAGCAGAGAAATGCGGGGACACTGGCTTTAGGAAGAGGCTGTGGGCGTTGGGCACAGGTGGAAAGGGCTGAAGGCCTGGCCAATGGCCTGGGGTTCTCGGGGGGACTCCATTCCGTCAGCAGGGTGGATGTGGGTGTGTGCAGCCTCCCTCTATGTTGCTCTCTAGACGACAGGGAAGACCCATGGCCAGAAGTTACCGGGAGGCAGATACAAGCTCACTATAGGGAGGAAATTGTGAGCAACTCATGGGACAGGTAACCTCATTACCTGTGCAGCTGGAGCCTGCAAGAGCGCTGGTCACAGTGGTACAGACGGACTCCTTCAATCTCCAGGGTTCTCCAGACTGGGGTCTGAAGACTCTGGGGTCAGTGGACCAACACTGTCCAGGGGCCTTGTGGAGGGAACACAATTGCTCAAATAACACCGCCCTCACTGAGTGTGACTCCTTGGTGCATCAGCTCACAGTGGGAGAGGAACGGTGGGCAGGGTTCGGAAGCAAGAGGAAGGGGTCAATGGTCTGTGCCTTTGCTCAACACATGGATATCCTGGCCGAACCCCTGCTAAGGAACAGGGCTACAAGTCACACCCAGGAGCCCTGAGCATAGACCCACCTCCTCCATTCACATGGAAGGGGGGGCGGGGGGGCACATTCTCACTCCCTCAAAATTAGACTACTTCCTCCATACAGGGGGCTGAGGAGCACCTAATGGTTCTTTTTAAAGACAAAGTAACAGTGTGGGGAAATGGCAAAACGAAGGAGGTTAGATATTCCCCGTGAGCATCTCATGCATGAAGCTCATTAAAACTCATACCTCCAATACATGGGTGTGGGTGTGGCATTTCTGCCCTTGAAACTGCCCTCCTGAGCGGGGCCAGTGCACGGTGGAGAGTGAGGAGTGAGAGGAAGAGGGAAGCGAGAGAGAGGGCTGTCCACCTCCAAGAGGAAAAGCACTCTCCTCATTCAAAAGACCAAGTCCTTCCTACTGAGCCACGTGATGATCTTAGTAAAAGTGGAGATCGTTGTAAAAGAGAAATTTTAATTTAAGCTGGAAAAAAAAAGAATCTTAGGAGACAACATTCTGATGTTTCTCAGAAGCAGGTAAATCGTGGCTTTCTACATTTTCTTTCAACACAGGCAGCACCTGAGATCCTACGGACAGGAAACATGGAGAAGAAAAATCCACAGACATGTGCATCAGGTACACTCCGAAGTTTACCTGTGGACAAAGCAGCAACAACTAGATTACTTTAGTGGCTGAAAACATTTTGTAAATAATGTTCAACTGAAATGAAGTCACATATTTAATGATATGTCCTGGGAAACAAGGGGGATCCTCATTGCAGACACCAAAGACCCTCAATCTAAGGTGTCCTTTCCCAAATCACCCCATGTTCTTCATGGCTGGACCCATTCTTTCCCTCCTTCCTGTCTACGCTGCATTTTCCATGAGAACATGTGATGCCAGGCAAATTCTCCAGCTTCTCCAGAATAAAGAAGGAGGGTCCAAAATGCAGTCTGATCAAGGTTTGCCATCACCGCCGCTGAGCCAGTAAGAACCCTTTGGCGTAGGTGACGTGCTCCCAGACCTGTTCATTCCTGTGATAACATCAGTTGGCCACCTGCTCCCCATGTTCCAGGCCCCAAATTAATTCCTTAAGGTTTGTGCACATGTGGGCGAGGAGTACACAGGAACTCTCTGTGCTAGCTTTGTAATTTTTCTGTAAATCTAAAAATATTCCAAATTTTAAAAAAATAAAAGATTTGTGCACATGAGAATTCTAAGATGCTTGGATGCATCACAGTGTCTGTGCCCACCCATCTCCTGGCAGCACGGGGCAGGCTTAAGGTCCCTATGCCCCTTGTTGGTACAGCAGCCTCTGCTGAGCAGACAGACATGTTGGTATAACACTCAAGTGCAACATCTCTGAAAACCATATCTACCCCGTATCTGTAGGGAGATTGTGTCAATCAAATACTGTGACACAAAACCCTGGTCTTGGAGAAACACAGGAAGCTGTGCAGAACATTTTACCCTGATTTAACCTGCCAATGTGTTACTGGAGGGAGATTAACCATTTGCATTATTTCAGTTAATTTTCAAAAATTGCTCAGCGCAGCCTAACTGCTGACTTGACTTCCTGGAATTCTTTGCACACAAACGGTTCTAACAGGCAGTGGAAATAAGTAAGTTTAGCTTTTATCATCTGGACCCCACGACAACAGCACTCAGGCATGTTCACCCTCAAGAAGATGACTTCCAAGCTTAGTACAGTGAAATTTATTACTGTTTCTATGCAGCTACTCTGTACACCATAAGGCATTTTACTCTTCAAAAGAACTCTGCAGTGAAGAGAAGAATAATCCAAAAATAGAATTACTCCACTTACTCGCTTTCACTTGTACTCCATATCTCTTCAACATGATTTGAGGGCATTAAAAATACACATAATAAGAGCCCCATACACGTGAAGAGACAGGCAGAAAGGAAAGATAAGATGGTGCCACAGATGAAGTCAGAACCTTAATGGTAGCCCAACAGCCTTTGAATGTTTCCTGCTTCTAAAAATTACTCGGCACTATGAGGGATGTAACTCTGGGGAGGTAACACACCCGGATTTTGAAATGGGGTACCATACTTTGCAGTCATGCTTACCTTTCTCTCTCGACTCTCTGAAAGCTTTTGGAAAACATCTTGGTTTCGTTGCCCAGTTTGCTGGTCAATGCAAATCATCTGGCATCTGTGACAAGGGCCCAAAACCTGGGAGGTGAGGACAGAAAAGACAGCGTTGCCATGAAAGTGACCAGACCCCCCGACTCTGCAGGGATGACTCTGGCCCCAGAGGATTTGGGTTGTAAAAGGCCACCCCCCAGCCAATGTCAGACTCACAGAGAGATGCTCGATACCCTACTCTTAACTGTAAGGAGCCAGAAAGTGGCACCCCTTCGCAGTGCCACTGGGCAGTCATCCGTATTTGTTTCTCAGCCGAGAGGTAGTTGCTGCTTCGGGGCTTTGCAGAGAAACCAGAGAGGTTGCGAGTCTCAGGTGGTTACCGGGGAATGTTGGCGACCCCTCGGTGAGAAAAGAACTAACTGATGGGAGGACTAACCGGGGGAAGATTAACAGCCACAGACCCGGCCCCGAGTCTCTGTGAGGAAGTCATCAGAACGAACCTGAGTGTGTCCATGTCCTTGACTACCAGGAATTCAACACAAGGGAAGAATCAGAAGTACAAGCACAGATTCATGTACAAGGATATTTCTCACATTATTTATACTAGGGGAAATGTGTCAGTAGAGAAGAATGGTTCAGCCAACCACACTACAAATATGACATACATCATGCAGGTTTTTTTGGTGTATGTGTGTGTTTTAATATGTTGTTATTGATTTTTTTTAGAGAAAGAGGAATGCAGAGGGAGAGTTAGAAACATAGATCAGCTGCCTCCTGCATACCCCCTACTGGGGATCGAGCCCGCAACTCAGGCCTGACCAGGATTCAAATCAGTGACCTCTTGGTGCCTGGGACAACGCTCAATCCACTGAACCACACCGACTGGGCTCATACGGTTTTTAAAATTAACCTATAAAGGGCTTTAAATAAAATGGGAAATGCTTATTTTTACAACTGAAATGAGCAGGACACAAAATTACATGTGTACTCTTGTCTATGTGTGTACTTAGATATGTACATATGTACACACACACACACTACATAAAACACAGTACACAGCTTCTTAACAGGGGCCATACTTCTATTCTGAATGGTCCACCATGAGCATGAATTGCTTTTATAGAAAGAAAAATCCCCCACAAATGTTAGCATTAAAAAAAGAAAGAATGCAGGTTAGTGACAAGATGCTCTTTCATTGCACACAGAAAAGGTACAAAGGATGCCTGGCCGGTGTGATTCAGTTGGTTGAACATCGTCCCATGAACCAGGAGGTTGCTGGTTTGATTCCCAGTCAGGGCACATGCCTAGGCTGCGGGCTTGATCCCCAGTCGGGGGGCGTGCAGAAGGCAGCCAATTGCTATTTCTCTCTCATTGATGTTTCTCTCTCTCGCTCTCCCTCTCACTTCCTCTCTCTGAAATCAATAGAAAAGAAAAGGAAAGGCACGAAGGCACTTGATTATCTCATAACCACTTTCTCCTCTGCTCCCACGTGGGCAAGCACAATGTGAGCACTGAAATCAGACACACTCAGCCAAATGGGGATGCGCCCTGGCCTCTACCTGCCACTCCTATTCTGGCTGCCGGGCATTAAGCCAGAGGACACACACCTCACCGTGGTACCAAAGTCAAGATTCCGGGCCTCACAAGCAGCGGGCGCGCCATGGGGGAGCTCTGCCCGGTGTTTCCCTTGGGACGCTCGGCAGACGGTGACCTCGCCAGGCCTCACTTTCCACCAGCTCCTTGGCTGGATTTGATAAGGGGTCCAGATACTATTCCCAAGAAGCCGAGCACAGGCCTGGCACTCTGTCATGCTCAGACGTGGAAACTGTCATGATGATAACAAGAGAAGGCCCGAGATACGTTATACAACTGGCTCCTGGCACGGCTATTATTAACGTGATCTCGGGCCCCGCTGAAGAACAGGCACATGCAGGGCAGAGGACCCATCCCCCTGCCCCTGGCTATTCCTGACCTTTCCTGTCCATTCATTACCTCGACAATTATTGAGCACTGACTCGGGCCAGGGCTGTTCTAGGCCGTAGAGGTGTGGTAGGGAACAAAGCAGACTTGGTCCCAGCCTTGTATGCTCTGAAGGAATAAGCCGGTGCTGTGCAGAGCTTGCCATGTGGTGGGTCAGGAACACCCTTTCCAGGAGGGAACATCTGAGCTGAGACCCTGCAGTAGCTGCTGAAAGAATGTGCCAGGCAGAGGGACAGCATGGGCAAAGGCCCTGAGGCAGGAAGCTCGGCTT